CTCAACTGGTGCGCCCAGTTTCGAAATCTGGCTTCGTGACTCCGTCACACGACAAGGACATAGTCCTCTTGACTGTTTTTGAACCGTCAAAGTTCAAAAGAACAGCAACACTCCTCAACTGCAGCTGAGGGCAACGTAGAAGCTAAGCTTCATGCAGTCATCGATCCTGCCACTGCAAGACGACTCTAAAAGTCTAAAAGCATTTCGCTTCTCGAGCAGTTTCTGTGCAAGCGCTGACAAAACAGCAGAGTTTCCTCACTGCACGTCCTTGCAAGAACCTCTGTGGGTTCGAACAATGCGCCGTCTACACCGCAAATCGAGTGCAGCTGACACCTATCTCAGACCAACAAGTGGTGCGGGAGTCGAAACTCTCGTCGGCGGCATGACCGACTTTCGCCAGGTCTTCCGGAACAAGTTGGCACGCCAACTGGTAAAGGTAGCAACAGCTACAAAACAGAACGAGTTCACGTTCCATGTGCACGCACTCAGACAGAGTGTTCAACTGAACGGACCAAGGCCAGAACAGAACAAAACAGTTCGCTGCCGAATCCACTTGAGAACTGCATGCAGCCTCGTGAAATCGACATCAAATTCACACCTCTGCATGCTCGAGTAAACAAGAGCTCAGAGTTCAGCATGGACCAGTGTACACCGAGTTACGACTACTCTGCCAGAGCAACAGCAAGACGCAACTTGGAAATCCTGGTCACAGCACCAAATGTCATGGCCGCGCTTCGGCGGGTTTGTGACTAGGCTTAGATCAGTCTAGTGGCTACCCAGGTAGACGACCAATATAGTCGCCATCCAAGTTGCTAGCTCACACCTGTTTTCCGGCTCACACAAGGTAGTCGAAGGTTGAAGGGGAGCGATCAAAGATACTTTTATTAGTTGGAAGAAGGCGGCTTTTATGTGATTTTGGTTATAGTATAATTGTGATATAATAATTAGTAGGAAATTATTAGTATAGCATCGGGGAGCTCGCTCACCCACATTACATGATAGAGTTACTAATATGAGTGATCTTCCGAGGTTATTCGTACGTCGATCATGCGACGGAGCCTGGAGCACGCTGTCGGATGTTGCCGCAGCTAGAGCGCGCCGCCTTCGTACGGTGTCTTGATTGGGTCACCCTTCATCTTCTGCCCCGTAGGCTCTTCCCTCTCATTACCCCGTAGGGCGCTGCACGGTCAAGCCGCGACCTCTCCCAAAAAAGGGATAACGGAGTCCGCAGTGCGCGAAACACTTGCAGGACCCTTTACGTCGTACGACGCAAGAAGAGGTGCCATGCTTGCTCGACTAACAAAGGTATCAGCTCCCTTGCAGGACTAAGCAGGGTCCCCTCAAGCTCAACAGTGTAGTGAGTACAATGCTGACGACTTGTGCTGAAGGTGTAGCCGCCGTACGACAACACTTGTGACTCGAGGCCACGAGTTGTAAGCCATGATTGCTCAACTAACGAAAGTGCCAAATCCTTCGCGGGACTAATCATGGTTCTTACAGAACTCTAGAATATTTCGGAGCCCAGCTTTTGGCTGCTGAATCTCATTGCGTGGTCGCTTTCACGACGAGTCGAGTCCGGGTCATGACAGAGATGCTACTCTACTTGTCCATTGGGTTGGCATGCCGGCCACCTGCCGAACATAGCGCTCGGAAGCTGTACTGCGTCACCGCCTACCCGTCGTATCACCGCTTCACTTGCACCTCTGGACGCCAGGAGTGTCGCCCCAACAATCCGCATGGAGTGGGAGCTCACCTAGTTGCAGTTGAGAGCCTGACGAAGTATCTTGTTCAACATGGCGGAGTAAGTTAATTCCCTTCAGCAAAGCGAACACAGGCTTAGAGCGGCAGGCATGAGCTGTCGTGCGCCAGAATTCGGACATTGTCAGTACCGAGCACGTTTCGTCGCCAGTAGAAGACACAGTGACAGTTCCACAGTCGCCGGATTGCCGCGTCGTAGTGACTTTGAGCCGCAACGTGACCGAGTCGGGTGCAATACTGACAGCCTCGCACACAAGTGCTCTATGGCTGTCAAACGTGTGAATAGAAGGCACCAGATACTCACTGGCACGCAGCAAGCCATAGAAGGCTAGAGTTACACTTGCCCACAGCATAGTCTGATCCACATATGCGTAATTTGAACGTTGCAAGTATCGCCGGAAATGGATCAAGTCGTCCACCGAAAGCTCTCTCCGAGCCAACGCTGAGGGGGGTTGCCGTCTCTCTATGCCATGCAACACTGCTGTTAGGCGAGCAGACTTTAAACATCCACTGCCACCCCATTGCACAACAGGTAGTAGCAGACTGCCGCTAGGTAAACGCGAATTGATGACAGAGACAGACTTCTTACAACAAAGAGACTAGCGGTGAAGGACACAGTATTTGCAATAGTAGGAGAAAGTGCCACAATGGAGTTAGTACGGCAGAACTCTAAATATGCAGCAATACCAGGCTTAAACGTTTGTTTGGTACGCTCCGAGACGGAGTCCTCAACTAGCGCGTCATTGGCCGCACTCAAAGCAGCGAGCTAGGGGAAGGTACTTGTACTGGATGGCTGCAGGCTGCGGGGGCCAGTACTCGGAACTGAGACATTTTCACTCACACCCTGTCCTGTAGAGATGCTACTCTACTTGTCCACTGGGGTGGCATGCCGGCCACTTGCCGGATGTAGCGCTCGGTGGTTACAGTTGAGAGCCTGACGGAGGATAACACGGCCCGAGCTGGCCTGGCGCCACCGTCCCAAAAGCCACTGGGCGACAAAATAGCCACCCAAGCCAACATCGGAAGCGGCGGGAAATAACTCCAAGACCGGGGGAGTTGAACCACTCGAGGGCAGGAAAGAATGAACGGCCATTCCAAGTGGCAGAAAACCGACAACACCACGGAAGGTCCAAGCGAGCTTCGGCAACGAGGGTAAAGGAAGACTGGAGGGAGGGTGCAGCTCAAGTCCAGGAGGCACCAAATGAATGTCCGACCAAGAGGCACCACTGCGGCAGCAAGTGAAAGCATGCCGATGGAAGACAGCAGGCCCCGCTTCGGATAACTAGTGTGAGCAGACCATGCATCCAGAACTGAGGGCAGAGCAGACAATTGACGAATCACATGCCGAACGGTGTCAGCCATGGGTATAATAAACTTAGGCTGAAGCGGGCAGCAGGAATACTGTCATTAATGCTGTGACCAGTGCGCGGAAGTAAGTAATCATAATAGGTTTGGCCTGCAGCGCAGCGGCCCATTGCCACAAACCACTGTCCGTGATAGAAACCGCCAAAGCCAACATCAGAGGCAGCCGGTAGCCATGACTAGCTCAAGGTCAGGGGATGGAGACCACACGACATCACGGAAGTCCAGTTCGCAGCAAAGGAGCACCGCCAGTTGATGTCCAAGCGAGCTTCTGTGGCAACGGTGAAGACTGACTGAAGAGACGGAGCGGGGCAGCTTAAACGATGAGACGGCAGATGAAAGACCTGCCAGGAGGAACCACCGTGGCGGCGGCAAAGGACGGGATGCCGATCATGGTCAGCCGATCCCGCTGTGGGCAGCTAGGGCGCATGGACCACTCACACAAAAGCCGCTAGAATAGTAGAGAACTTCTCGTCAGGTAGCCGCATCACCTGCTCTAAGTAGTCGATGTCTATGCGAAGTACCGTCACCACCGTTGATGAGCGAACCACCTTCTCGGCGCCAGGGGCGACTAGGATGCTGAGGTGGTCAAATAACTGCAGAACCGTCACTTCAACTCTTGCCACGAACCACCAAGCAAAAGATAACAGAAGCACCTAGTTTGGTGCAGCGCACTGGTTCTTGTGCAGGCCAGCACAGCTAGCAGGAAGAGTGTCATACCCAGAACGACTGGGGGATGAATTTTCCCTGAGATAGTGGAATACCGTGTGTATGCAGAAATGGTGCATAACGAACGCACCGGGAGCATAAAATCCACCGCGAAGGCCACAAGCGTTTGACAACCACAACTGATACGTAGATGATCAACGATCGTCCCTCACTCAAAAACGCTCCAGCAGTAGCGACATGTTGAAAACCACCAGCCTACTTTGTCGATGTACACACCTCCGCTCCTCGTCGACTGCTTTGGCTAGATTTTGGGCAGGTGATCACAGCCGGTCCTGCGTCAACGCCAGGCGCTATGTCGAGGCGGAAACAACTGGTCCTCGGCGACGAGTAGTCCATGCTTGGCCTCATGAACTCCAGGAAAGGCACGCCTGCGACGATGAGCTCCCCGATCTACCCACTCAACAAATAAATATTTCAACCAAGCGCGATCCTTCGCTGCGTCAGTGAAGGTGCAAGCGCTTTCAGCTCAGCGCTTGACTATGCAGCCGAACACAACTGATTCCCTTCTGAGAAAGCACCAGCCTCACACGGAAAGCACTTCTTGTAGAGAAATTACCAGCCTCACCCGGAAAGCACTTGTCCAAAGGAAAAGACAACCAAACTGCATTCGACTAGCCACTGCAGCGCACATGAAGGCAACAGTAGCAGCAGTGCAAAAATGCAAATTACAGACCATACTCGGCACAATAATAATTAATGATATGCATCATGAGACCATCACTGCGCATGTGCCCGCGTAGGCTAACTTGGCTTTGACACTCAAAGCCGGCATTTATTATAACGAGTAGTCGCTAATTTTTAATGACGGTACTAAATTCCTAGGTTAACGAGAAGATACGTTGACGATCTTGTAGTCTTCAGGCATAGCCGAAATTTACTTTACTTGTTCTGGTATATCAAACTGCGCTTTGTTGGGACTGAAAATTCAATCAGCCTTTGCCTCTGAATTTGGTGTGTGCATGTGTGTTTGTGCGCGCGCACGCGTGTGTGTGTGTGTGTGTGTGTATGTGCATGTCCTCGCGGGTACGTGGGTACGTGTGTGTGTGTGTGTATTTGTACGGGTGTGTACGGGTATGTGTAATTATGTGTGTGTGGCTGTGGATGTGTACGTGTATGCGTGTGGTCTGCACAATGGGTTTCTGCTATCATAGCCTGGAGAATTAAAGTGCTGAAGAGGATAGCATTGGAGAGTGGTTGGGTACGGTTCAGAATTATTATTGAGTTCCGAATCAAGCGTGGCAGTCGTGATGTGGCAGCTGGTGACAAGTTCACATTCTATCGCCCAGCTCATTGTACATGCCCGGACATGGAAAGAGGTGCCAGTTATCTGATCACAGGGCCTGACAGGGGTCTCAAGCTCATGCTAGATAAGGATACATCCATTGAGCGGTGGACCAAGACACGCCGCTTCTGTCGCCTACGTCGCCTGATACGCACCAAGCCAGGTGTATGTGATGCAGTCGACGCGGTGTGGTATGAGTTCAAGCAAGGCAAGGAGTACAACGCATGTGGTGCATTGCCTAAACCCTGACAACATGTAGCAGGATCACAATCAGGTTGACCAGTGTGTATCATATATGCCCTCAACCTTATGAATGTACAATGAATATTGACAGTTGTATTCATCATGTGATTAAACCTGCCATGTTTATTGAAAGTTGTACTCCTCATGTAAACTGGTGACAGCACTCAAATGTTACTATAGGGTCACCACCACCACCTGCCCACACAATTCGCTTTTTAAATAGAGTACAGGGACAAATTTCTCAGACACTCATGCAGAGATGCTCATGAAAGTAAGGCAATTTACACAATAATTCACTTTTATAATAATGTACATGGACATTTTTTTCTGAAATTCATGAAAATAATTATCTTCTTATGCTTCACAGAATATGGAAATTAGCAAGCGACAAAATGCACACAAAATTCTGTTTGTATACAGACCAGCTGTGTGGAAGGAAACCCTGATAAAAAGGTGTCAACATGAATGCCTAGCTGCGAACTATGATGCTGCTCCCTATTCCCTAAAATAATACTTGTAGGCTCCCTAATGAACAACTTCTGAGTGTAAAAAGTGGACAATTGAAAACTTTCAATACGCCAAATGAAGTGCAGGTTTAACATGAATGCCTAGCTGCGAACTATGATGCTGCTCCCTCCTATTCCCTAAAATAATAAATCTAGCCTACCTGTCTACAAAATGAACAAAGTGTCTACCTAAAAAAGTGGACATTTGAAAACTCTCAATACGCCAAATAAAATGCAGATTTGGTTAGCAAATATAATCCACGTGAATCGATCGATCAACACTGCTCAAAACTGTCAGACAGCTGATTCAGATACCTCACGATCACCTTCCATACTAACAAACCCATTTGTGTGCAGAGGAGCATATCCACTGTACTCCTCCGACATGCTCGGAGCTGGCAGTGGATGCTCCAAGAAAGAGAAGGCATTCTCCGAGTCGTTTGATTGTGAAGAATTACCACGTCGACGTGTACCCAGATCAGACTGCACAAATGGAGATGTCGCGGCTGCTCCATCCTGTCTTTGCTGTTGCTGCGCTTGACTGATAGCCTGGCGTGTCAGTGAGTCCGGTGTTACAATGATAGTTGGTGTGTTCAAGTCATCAGATTGCATATCAACGTAGGCTGATCTCGGATGCTGAGCTGGCTGCTCTTCGTTACCTACAGTTGTTGCTGGTGGTGACGCTAGCTCCAAGCTGGCCATCTCTTCCACTGGTTGTAGGTTACTGGTTGGATGATGGTGGTGATAGTGATGGTAGTGATGGTGATGATGTTGCTGCTGATGGGGATGATGTGGGTGATGCTGACCAGCGCCACCACCACCATGGGGCGTGTCGAAATCTGGTACAAGAAACTCTCCAGGAAAGTGATCAGTGGGAGTTCCTGGTGGAGTATGATACGCATCACTATGAGCAGTGGGAACATGATGGATAACATACCTGTCACAGACAATGATTGGAAATTAAAACACACAAAGACAGTTTGCAAAAAATCATTACTCTGAACTCAATTTACTGTAATTTCGTGCATATAAGACCATGCTCTTATAATCGAAAAGTCGCTGTTTTCGGTCCTTTCACAAGTGCATTTTCGTTTGATTATAAGACCATGGTCATTTATGCGAGAGACGAACATCGCATCGACATGAACATGTGCAAGTACGAATATTATTGGTTGATGCTAGTACAATGGAACCATGGTGAACATGGTATGGTTTTGTAATTTTCATTCACTTACAAGTGCATGTTCTTATAAGCGAGAGTGCTCTTATATTCGAAGATAGGAACTAGGGCTCAAACGGTCACGGTTTTACCCCTGACGGTTAACTGCTAAGCTAACGGTCGGTTAACCGGTTATAACCTATAAGCCACGGCAATCCTGCGGACTCTTTTTTAACCGTATATTTGACTATACTCATTCAAAAAAATGTACCCTATTCAGTACAACGCACACTTGTACATTCTCTTGCATGCTCATGCATACATACTCTCACACCAAGAGACCAGATATGACCGAGTTGACAGCCCAGAAGTTGCGTACGCCTGCGACAGCCCCCGAAAGTGCACACTTTGTAACGACCTGATACTTGAAAAATTGACTGAAAAGTAACTGCGTAACCGTTATCTTTATCGGTTAACCATTAATTCTTCGTAACCGGTCTGCAACCGGTTAATCGGACTAATCGTTTGAGCCCTAATAGGAACGTGTCCTTAAATGCGCGAGATAACGGTACGCAATAGTACAGTATATAGCATGGGCCAATGAAACATGGGAAATATCTTGGGTGCGATCTTGCTCATGCAGCTATCAAAGGGATGTTTGCAACGCTACTGGGAACCCATGTTGTTTGTTCAACAGGCTGTTGGCTAAGCAACGGGGCATCCCCATGGGCGTTGGAGCCGGCCTAGTTGGCCTGGCTCGAACCAGACCAATATTCCGGTATTATTTTGCTTCTCAGTTAAGCACATTGTTGAAAATTACTGCGGGTGTTTAACAGTATCTTTATCATGCAAGAGGTGATTTGGCTTGATTAAAAAAATTCCCACGGATCCCCCTCTACTACGCCCTTCGACCAATCGAAAACAGCTTCCGACGCGCATGATCCCATATTGTTTGCCAATTATTGATGTTACCAGCACAGGCAGTTTGACAGCTCTACATGAAACCTTTCCATTTTTGATTGTTTCAAAAGAAATGTCAGCACCGACGCAATCCACACAGTCAAGTAAAGCCAATTTAGTAACCAAACATTTTCGTTCCCTTCTCATCTATGCTTTTGCTTTAGCTCTATAAGTTGCTGTATTTTGACATGTTTTCCATTATTCCTTGTACTTTCCCATGATGAGTAGGGAATGAAAAAGTTTGGTTACTAAATTGGCTTTACACTCACACGTCTCTTATCCGGGCACCTTGGGACCGGGCACTGCCCGTATCTCAGATTTGCCCGAATCTCAGGATAACTCATCTACCATGTATCATTATCACTTTGAAGAAGTATGGATTATCCCATGAGTACGAGGGGTATACCACCGAATATTTTCCTGAGTACCGCAGGTACGAGGGAAAATATGAGAGATACGGTATACCCCGACTACGAATGGGATAATGCACTTATCCCAGGTCAGGTCAAACTTTTCCCAAAATCTGGAGTATGAAATGTGCTTATCGTACAGGATGGCATTGATGGTTGTACCGGTACATGTACTGCGAACGTGCTAGACAAGTATCTTGAAGTATGTATGCATGGTAAACTTGGTAAGAGGATAGGAGGAGGAAGACATCACTCAGCTGTCATATGAAGGAAACGTCGGGCAAGATCAGAAGGATCTTTCTCCTTTGATCCATACATCTTACATAAGATGTCCTTCCTTATACATTTAGTTCAGTTTATTGAGTTCAAGTAGATAAACACAACTTGTGCTTTGAAGTACAGTAGTATGTTCGCTCGTCAGCGCGTGAATAGACGTTACATGTAGCTGAATCTGTGGAGCTTTGGAGCTGCCGTTGAACCAAACAGTTCCGTGACTAGTTTAGACTAGAGATAGGAGTAAGTGCTATTAACAATGGGTACATGTGAATGATGCTTTACACATGCAGCTAAGAATTCAAACTCACCTTTTAGGTTTAGGACTTTAGGTGCATTTTGAAGTGCATTGTTTTATCAGTTACGAAGGAAACTGTCTGGTGATATACTAGTATGCCATTTCGAAATAAATTGTAATTCGTTCTAGATACTCTGCGGCTTATTCTTCTCAAATTTTAATGATGATGCCAGTCATTCTTCTTTCCCATCGTGGACCTTTCATGTACCGACTTTGCTCAGTTACAGTGTTAGGACAATAATTTGAATAATAACGTCATGCATTGACAGTAGGAGTGCTGTTGCATTGCAAGCACATAGTATAACAAATGTATTAAAAAAAGTGCAAGTAGTCTTGTTCTGTATGTTGTGCAAGCGCATGTGGTGTCTGTCAGTGTGTGTGTGGATCCCATGTGTTCGACTTGCGCTGGAGTACTGTCACCGTACCAGGCACTGCCTTTGCGGCAGGGTCTGGTACAGTGGCAGTGCACCAGCGTACGTAGAACGCCTGGGGTCAAAGGTGGTACGAATGTGTACGAATGTATTTTCCCCGGAGTTCCGGGGAATATCGTGCTATATTCCCCGGAAATAACGGCTGCTGATTGGCTGAATCCATGGTTTCCTACCGTACTATGGGATAAGTTTATTTGGCACATATTGCACATGTTCAGGTTACAAAAATAGTCCATGGATAAAAATGTGTGGATTACACAGGTTGGCAGAGACAAATAAGCACTTGCGCGTTCAGAAAAAAGTTCAACCCCCAAATTCGAAGCATTTTTGCCATAGGAACTCAAGCTGAAGGTGCCCGGTAGAGAGACGTGCCAGTAACTGAAGCGCCCGGATAAGAGACGTTTGAGTGTCCTTGACTGTGTGGATTGTGTCGGTGTTGACACTTCTTTCGTCATTGGATGCGCCTCCAATATTTTCCTTAAATTGTTGATCAGGGGCGGATCCAGGAGGGGTTCCAGGGGTTCAGCGGAACCCCCTAAATTTCGTAAATGTACTACTGGTAACCATATGCATGTCCATGTTGTACTAGTATCACGTTGCCACGTCACGTCCTAATATTACGTACTGGCATGTGCTTCAGACTCATTACGTGTGGGTGTGCTGTGCACGCATGCATGCACCCCCTGAGCAGATAGAGCTGTCAACCACGCGGTGTTCAGTGGTTGTAATTATTATTGCAATGGCATGAAGACAGTTTCGACTTTCTATTTCTCTTCCCGTTACTTTAATCCTATCATGCATTCAACTTTGTAAACCATATGAACTGAGTAGGTGTTCGTTGTGTCGGGTGCACTCTGTGTGCGTGCTTGAGATTCCCCGACAACTTTGGTGCTGAAACCCGTTGGAAGTTCTGAAAGATGGCTTCGAAGTTGGATGGATTTATTCGCCCGTATCGGGGCAAACAGGACGACTTTGATGAGTTCTGGGCTAAGTTTCTGGTCTTAGCCAAGGCCAATAAGTGGGCCGATGACGCTGCCAAGGCTGAGCATCTTCCGTTGTTCCTGAGTGGACAAGCCTTTACGGTTGTCACTCAATTGTCTGACGAGGACAAAAAATCGCCGGCAAAAATTAAATCTGCGCTGGAGCAGGCATTTTGCCCCACGCCCGGTGCTGCCTACCGTTCATTTACGTCAAGGGCTTTGCGGAATGGAGAGCCTGTGGACGCGTACCTGGCAGATTTGAAGCGCCTACTTACGCTGTCTGGCCATAAGATTGCGGATAATTCAGATCCCGTGCTGATTGAGCAGTTCCTGAGTGGTTTGCCAGCTGATATTGGTCACCACGTTCGTATGGCGTCTGCTACGCAGAAGCTCACTGTCACTGATATGGCAAATCAAATCAGAGTCATGCAGGCATCCAAACTCCCAGAATCCCATGGTGCTGTTGCTGCTGCTAGCTCTCAGCCCAAGAAGTCGCTCGTGTGTTACCAGTGTAAGGCCGTGGGCCATGTGAGATCACAGTGCCCGAAGCGTAAGCCCAGTGTCACCTGTTATGCCTGTAAAGCGAAAGGGCATATTTCCAAGGACTGTCCGAACAAGAGTCGAGTTGGAAATGTCGCTGCTGGTCACGCGCCGCCTGAACGTACGGATATTTGCCTTGCTCTGGCAAAATCGGATGGAGACCTAGTTCGTGTAGCCGTGGACGTACAGGAACCCAGTACTGAGTCTAGTACGTGGACGCGTTTTGCCTCTGTGGTGGATTCTGGCTGTACTCGCACACATGTGGAGTCGGCTGTTGTTGACCGATTGAACCTATCAGCTGCAGTTTCTCCCTGTCAGGACAAGCTGTTGTCTATCGACGGAACACCACTTACTATCCTTGGCAACGTCACGCTACGTGTGCAACGACTTGATGGAGCCGTCCATTTGCCTCGGATCACTATTGATTGTCTCGTTGTGCCCAACTTGTCGTCCTTGAACACGGACTTCCTGATTGGCACAGATACCATTGGCAAGGTCGGTGGCCTCACTCTACGTTACGACGGTCTAGGGGGCACGCTGTCCTCAGTTGTGTTTGGTCAGCAGGCAGGTGTCGCTGCCGGTGCATCTCCCCAACCCGAATCTGAGAAGCCTAACAAGCTTTCTCGTCACATCGATGTTACCGAGTCCGAGTCGACAGTCACCTTGAAGGCGAACGATTGCCAAGCTAACTGGTCGAATGAGCGTGGTCATTGGATTGCTCAGTGGTCGTGGAAGGGTGGCGTTGCACCCGAGCAGCACATTGGTTCCGGCATTGGAGAGTACTCGCGGAAGTCTCTAAGCGTCAGCGAGGAGGAGCAGTTTGCTTCAGAAATGAAGTTGTGGGTGGACAATGGATGGCTTGTCAAGTACGACTCCGAGGCATTCGGAGAGCCTGTCGCTGTCTTGCCGATACTTGCCGTTAGTCAGCAGCACAAGGCATCCACGCCGGTTCGGCCGTGCTTGGACTACCGTGCCCTGAATGCCTGTCTTGTGTCCCACCCCGGTGTCACCGCTCCAGCTTGTGACGCGAAACTCCGTGACTGGCGCAGACGTAGTGCCGACAGCGTTCTTCTCGACATCCGGAAAGCCTACCTGCAAGTACGGATCCATCCCACCCTGTACAAGTACCAAACCGTTGTGTACAAAGGCGAGTTGTATACCATGACCCGCATGGGATTCGGTCTGAACGTTGCGCCAAAGATCTTGGACATGATTGTCCAATGGATTACCCGTGATCACGCCGACGTTGACAACTATGTGGACGACCTCTACGTCCCTACTGCCCAGACCGACATCGTCCGCCATGAACTCGCCAGCTATGGGCTTGAGACGAAAGAGCCAGAGAAGTTCGCAACTGCTCGTGTGTTGGGCCTACAGCTGTCCTCTTCTGATGTCGAAGATACAGTCACGTGGGAACGTCGTGCTGGTGTTGACCTCAAGTTGCCAGAGTCACCAACTCGTCGTCAAGTGTTCAGTTGGTGTGGCCGTGTGATTAGTCACTACCCGGTATGTTCCTGGTTACGCCCGCTGTGCAACTACATCAAGCGGCTTGTCGGTGAGAACACATCGAAATGGGATGACCTCGTACCGCCTCATCTCGTGCAACCATGTCGTGAGGTCGAGTCTCGTGTCCGTCAAGACGATCCTGTGCATGGTGTCTGGTCTGTGCCCTGTGATGACACCACCGTGTGGCACGTTTGGTGCGATGCTTCTGGCCTGGCCATGGGTGCGGTTCTGGAAGTCAACGGCGCTATCGTCGAAGACAAGTCCTGGCTCAGACCTTCCGATGATAAGCGTCATATCAACATAGCAGAGTTAGACGCCGTCATCAAGTCGCTCAACCTCGCTCTGTGTTGGCCAGTGAAGAACGTGGTCTTGCACACTGATTCGCGTACAGTCCATGGCTGGTTGACGCAGTTGCTGAACAACATTCGTCGTGTTAAAGTGAGTGGCCTTCACGCTACCTTGGTTCAGCGTCGTTTGCAGATCATCGACGATTTGATCACTGTATCTGGCATTACAGTTGACGTTGAATGGGTCCGCTCAGAGGACAATATTTCGGATCAGCTAACCCGTGTCCCTACCTGGTTCCGTGTGCCGGACAGTCCTAAGAAGCCACAGCCTGATGTTGCAGCAGCCGGTGTTACCGTTCGTGCTCTCCCACCTCTTGCTATGGGTGACATCGCCACTGCCCAAGTTGCTGACGAGGAGATCTCGTCCGCTAAGGCCCAGCTTCTCTCCGGTGAACCGATTCCCAACTCCAGCTACAGCAGAGTCCGAACCCAGCTGGTGATTGAGGATGATGTGCTGTTTCGCAGCGTGAAACCGCCTCTCAACGATGTTGAGCTTGTGCCTGCCCTTCCCCAGAGTCTTACTGCCGATGCACTTGCAGTCGCCCATACTGTGAGTGGTCACGCCGGTTGGGAAAGTCACGTGGCATCTACTCCGTAGCCAATGCTATTTCCCTGGTATGGCACAGCGCTGCCGTGACTACGTGTCAGAGTGCACTACCTGCCGTGCGGCAAATCCTGCTCAACCTTGTCTACCGCAACCAACGCGACCTGTAACTCCCGATGGTCCCTGGCGTGTTGTGCAAATTGACACGCTCGAGCTTGGTACCAACAAGTCTGGCCGATATCACTGCGTTCTTGTCTGCATTGACACCTTCACCAAGTGGGTGGAGGTCGTCCCACTTGTTTGCCATGATGCTGAGTCTGTCGCCGATGCATTTGTTAGTGTGTGCACTCGGTGGGGTCCTCCCCATGTTATCCGCTCCGACAACGGCACCGAGCTTCACAATGCCCTGATGTCATCCCTCTACAAGGTATGTGGGGTCAACGTGTGTTTTGGCGCAGTTCGCCACCCCCAATCGCAAGGTGCCGCAGAACGGTTCAACCAAACGCTGTTGACCTTGGTGCGGAAGGTCCTCGACGAGTCCAGTGATTGGCAGGTCGACCTAGCTATGCTCCTGTACTTCTACCGCAACAGGCCCCACAGTGTCACCGGTGTCTCACCTATGCAAGCAATGGTTGGCTGGCAGCCCCGCAGTCTCGTGGTGGATGCTACCCCAACAGATTGGTCGTTTCCCCGCTGGACGGAGGAAATACAGCGTCGCGCCTCAGCCATGTACGATCTCCTGGAATCAGAGTTGTCGTCCTGCGATTTTGTCGAGGAGCCAACTCAAGCGTTCTCGGCTGGAGAGTCTGTTCTCTTCCGCCGTCCACACCGGCACCAGAAACGACTCCCCGAATTCGAAGAAGGTTGGATCGTCAAGCGAGTCGTTGGTCCCTCAACTGTCGTGATTGGCCGTGGCACAGCAGAAAAACTCGTCAACACAGAGCTGCTGAAGCCTGCTGGAAGTCATTCCAGTCGTATCCCTGAGCCACTAGATGTAGCTAGTATTATCGATGACGAGCCGTTGGACCATGTGCCTTTGGCTGGTGTACCTGATGACACCGCTGGTGGTCGTCTTCTCCGCGACAGAGCCCTGCTCCGTGAGCCTAGTAGGTATGGCTCTTGAGACCACTATGTTCTCTGCTTTGTCCGAGTTTGGGTCTGACTCGTGACTCTAATTCGTGTTTTGGCCGTCTCTGACGATTGACGTTTAATAGTGTGTGTCATAAATTTGGTTCTTTTGTTTTGTTTTCTCAATTTATTGGCTCCTATTCTGCGATAATTGGTACTGTTTTTTAAAGTCGTTTTTTATCTTCTTCTCCTCATTTTTAGTGACAATTGTCACTAGGGGGCATGTACTAGTATCACGTTGCCACGTCACGTCCTAATATGACGTACTGGCATGTGCTTCAGACTCATTACGTGTGGGTGTGCTGTGCACGCATGCATGCACCCCCTGAGCAGATAGAGCTGTCAACCACGCGGTGTTCAGTGGTTGTAATTATTATTGCAATGGCATGAAGACAGTTTCGACTTTCTATTTCTCTTCCCGTTACTTTAATCCTATCATGCATTCAACTTTGTAAACCATATGAACTGAGTAGGTGTTCGTTGTGTCGGGTGCACTCTGTGTGCGTGCTTGAGATTCCCCGACAATGTACATGTATCAGCTATTCACTGTTTTGACTATACTGGAACCCCCCTGTAGAGATGGCTGGATCCGCCGCTGTTGAATAGATTTCAGGTTTCAACATGTTTAGGCATGTATGCGTGCATGCGCGTGTGTCTGTGTGTATGTATGCGGCAAAGGGGCTTATCATGGGTATAATGTGCATGCTTTGCTCTCACTGTACATGCATTCAGACAAACACACCCACCCACACACACACACACACACACACACATACACACACACATACACACACATACACACCCACACCCACCCACACACGCACACACACACGCACACACACACACCTGCACGTGCCCCCCCCCCCCCCCACACACATACATACACACACACACACACACACACACATACACACACAAACGCAAATTCATGGGACATGTCTTACATCTTGTCCCCCACAACAATGGGCGTATCCTGTGGCGGGTTGATCAATACATATGATTGGCCACGGGGTTCGCTAACAGGAGCTATGAAAAACAAGAACAGAACAAATTAACAGGGAAAACAAGGAACATGAACTACAAACAAGAACATTACCTTAAAGTCCGTAAATAAGTACGTATTTACTTTCGAATTTAGTGACCACACCCGTACTAACTTTCGGGCGGGAACTGACTTTCGGGCACGAACTAACTTTCGGACCTGACTTGTGTGTAGTGGAGAAGTCATTTTCATGTAGATGTACATGCTACGTGCTGCATGTGCGCACCAAACCGGTACTTATTTTGGGCAGTATGTTTATCGGGCTTGACTTGACTTCAACAGACAGAGCCTAAAGAATGAAGGGGGTATTTCTTTCGGGCAGGTACTTATTTACGGACTTTTACGGTATAGCATCACTAGTTCACTACCCACCGTATGTACAACTACAGGATTGGTATCTGCCGCTGGATTTCAGGGTGCTGGTGGTCGTTGTGAATTCCCTCCGGAACGGAAACGAAAACGTGTATTTAGTACTATTGATCCATGCCATCTCAATTCACTGCTGGGACGATGATAGTCTGGCAATGCTTCAAACATTGAACCCAGTTGGCCCAACCTTCACCGATTTGGATCAGCAGATATTTCAGATCACCGCAAGAGGCTTTCTGTCAGCTTTCCGTGTGAATTTCATTCCCGACACACACCCTGCTATTTCAAGTCATTGGACGTTGACTGTCCAACCGCATAGCCCGCATCCCAGACCACGTCCGTCACACGCAGTGTGTGGACTGCAATGGCAGTATTCCTGTGACAGTGTTCAGAGCATGACTACCTGTTACCTGCTTTCCTAGCTGTGCTAAGTTAGTATGTATGTGTCCCAATGCCACTGCCAGCACGACAATACTAAGATTAGCAACCAAACACCCTGCTGCATTGCCAAGGCACAATTGGGGTGCCACTCTGACATACATGACAACCTAGTGAAGCCTGCGAGGGGTACGGCTGGACGGAATTAAACCCTACGACCATTGCTGGGGTTTGTCAAGAGCCAGGTTGCAGGTTTCTTTCTTCTTTTGTAGGCTTAGGAAAGAGGAACTTTTCCTGTCGATGTAAAATTACTACAAGGAATAATGCTGTACATATTGCAGCTAAACGGAGCACACAGCATTGTGATTACATGGAAACATTACTCAGAAGCGCACTTGACAGAAGACACATGTGCACAAAGACACGCGTGCACACACACACACACACACTACTACTACTACTACTAATGCATGGCTGCCACTAGGGTCACGCCACTCCATAAAGGAGCCATAGTCAGGCAGGGAGAGTTTCACGGGCACATCCATGCCGAGACATTTCCTGAGCACGTCGGAAGCGAAGATTACAGAGCTGGCAGCACACACACACACACACACACACACACACACACACACACACACGCGCGCGCGCGCACGCACACACACTACTACTACTACTACTACTACTACTACTACTACTACTACTACTACTACTACTACTACTACTACTACTACTACTATGTACAGCTACCCTATCAGGCCACGCCGCTCCCAAAAGCGGGAGACAACGACAAGAAGACAGAAGAGAAGAGAGAGAAATCGCAAGGTCAACAGTATTGGGCATGGCGTTGCAAGCAGCACACACACACACACACACACACACACACACACACACACACACACACACACGCGCGTGCACGCACACACGCACACATGCACGCACACACACACACACACGCACATGCACACACACACACACACACACACACACACACACACACACACACACAATACACACACATACACACACACACATACACACACACACACACACACACACACACACACATACATACACACACACACACATACACACACATACACACACACATTGCCTGTAACAATGTAACAAGATAGCAATGACATGGCTGCCACCTCACCTGTACCACCAATACCAAGTGCAGTCATTCTGTTTGTGACAATGCGATTGACGTCATTCATCCAGGTGGCCTGACATGCCAATATCTAATAGATACACACAATGGATAGCACAGTACACAAAAGTCATGTATAACAGCAGCGACAATACAATACAATCATGCTAAAGTGAATCATGCTAAATTTATTGCCTGTTCTAACTGCTAGTCAAACAGGCTCTCACACCGGTATATAAGCCATGTGCTGGTACCATAATATCGGGAATGACATCCAGTGGTTACCAGATGATCGCGTAGAGAGCGCGAAACTCGACCAGTGACTAGTTGTTCCTCTCTCTCCATATTGTATGCACAAGATCCATGCCGCAGTGTTGAGCAATCTTCACCTGGCAGGGCACTCTGATTGTGTTCTGTTGTCAAGTACATGTATCTGTTATCTGTTACCATCGCGGGTGTGCGCAGTCGGTTTTCACACATAACACACCAGGAATGGATAAGCACAGTTTCTTCAACTTTCAAGAGCGGTATGCACTGGAGCACAACATGCACTGCAGCATAGTGTACACCAGATCAAACTTTGGACCACACAAGATACATTCGTAGCACAGTACCTTCAGCAGCAGCAGCGACAACGGCGGCAGCAGCAGCGACAACGGCGGCAGCAGCAGCACCAGCAGAATTGAGCAGCAGTAGCAGTAGATGTATTACCTCTGGACTGCGAGGACTTAGAGTGCGATACAATCCAATCACTAGATCACCAGTCTTGAAGGAGAGATGTAACAACAACCGGCCATACGTCTTCATTCCTGCAAGATATGGTGTGACTTCAACCTGCAGTCAAAGGATAAAAGAACAATGCCTTGTATGGAAATATTACACAAGATAGAACAAAAAGCTGACAAAAAGGTTTAAAAAAAAAGGAATGTTCCCACACCGGGAATCGAACCCGGGCCGCGGCGGTGAGAGCGCCGAATCCTAACCACTAGACCATATGGGACACACATGATCTAGAGGGCATGTGAAAGGTTTACTATTCAAAACGTGAAAGGAAATCCAATTATGTGAGTCCGGTACGCACCAGGTGCTGTGTAGGCCTACACATGTACATGTAGGCCTACAAACACTGGGTTGTGAACTGGTGCAAGGCACAAACTTGACTTATGCGATGGGATTTCATTGAACAGCACTGTACATGTACGACTACTGGTACATGTACTAGACTAAACTCTGTCAACACAGTGCCTCTGATCTGCTCGTTCATCCATTTCTTAAGGGCCGATTTCCACTACGGTACCTTGAGTGCCGTGCCGACGAATGGCGACAATTTGGGTAGGTCACGTGTACCCCACGGTACGAGCTTGAAGCCGAGAGTGATTTACACCTGCGCACAGTCATTCAGTGCATTCCGTCGGCAGGGCGGATCACCATTTTTCTCAATTAAATTTCTGACTTTGGTCTTGAGGGAAAATAGCGGGGGAGATGACTGGAGAAAGCTCAAAAATCAACCAATCGAAAAGCCAAAAGCCAAGAAAAAAGTTCGTGCCACAAATACAAAAGAAAGAAAAACTTCCTATCATGGAGTAGTAAAATACCTACTACACACTGCATTCGACCTCACGGAATACAACAGCATGCGACACCTTCAGCCAGAGCACCCAATGACTTTGACTTCTTCCGCAGTGTGAGTGTGGTGTGCTGTCTATGAGAGAAACACGTACTAGTATCCCTGACTAGTGCTGTATGACACAAATACAGGGCCGGTCACTTCGTACTCACATGGCCACGACATGACTGCTGTGTCCGCAGCGTGGAATTTGATAGTACCCAGTACTGACGATATGTGACATCGAAATTAATGTCACAGTGCAAAATATAGTATGCTGGCAAGCAACTTCTACCTAGCAGTGTCAAAACTAGAATCAAACGGTATTCCTTTCCCCGGCAAGAAACAGAGGCGGAGCGGGCTTGGAGAGATAAGGCCCTCTGGCAGTACTAGTACCTTTTATACCCTCCATTAGTCTTTCCCGACCATTCCACCCATTGATGCCAACAAGTATAGTCAATATTCTGAAGTCCAAAGGACCCGGTACACTGCATCCATGCTGCACCAGACGGCCCAGTATTTAAAGTAGAACAATGGGCAGTAGATGCATTCTGAACCTGATGAAGTACGTACATGCAGTATACTAGTACATACATGAAGAGCAAGGAAAGGTCTACGCACTTGATCATACATCTGCTAAATTGATGAGATAGAAAACATGGTGACGGTGTTCAAGATCAGTTAGTGAGCTATTTTATCTACTAGTACACTACAGTATGGAAGTTATGAATATCCTGAGAGCCGTCGTCCTGCACTGGACTATATGAACTTACCATACACAAGCAACACTGGTGTTTCTCATTCTGCTTGGCACCAATCAGCTGACGTACAAAGTCCAAAAGCCATGGCTTCACGTAGGTCTACAAGAACACAGCAGCAATGTTGATGTCATGATACATTGACTTCAGGCCAGCATACTGGCAATGATACATTGACTTCAGGCCAGCATACATACCCACAGCCGCTGCTATGCAGTGCTCTGGGCCGGACAGGCACCCGTGCTCTGGGCCGGACAGGCACCCGGGAAAGATGGAAAGGCTAGGCATACAGGCCTCACCACTCATAACTCACCACTCTGTACCCATGAAGCTGACCATAGAACATAGCACTGCGCTGCTACGGTGTACTAAACGTTTAGGAGCAAGTATCACTGATTTATACAGGGCTGCTCAATGAAATCTAATCGTGTGAGTGAACGTTGCGCCCTGCACCGGTTCATCATCCCAGTGCTCGCAGGACAAGGGGTTCACCAGCATGGCATTGACACGCTTGATCATCGGATTTCATTGAGCTGTACTGTACATGTCGTGCTAGACAGACTCACAGTAGAGACGAGAGAGGGAGAGTGTGGTGGACTGACCTGATAGAGTAAAGTGTCCAGCATACTACTTGTGAACACATCACCAGCAGCAAACTGCGGACAGAACATGTAGTGAAGATGATCACCAGCACGTGTTGTCGGCTTCACTGTCACCTTCTGTGGTGAGGATACGCCAGTACCGTCCACGTAGTTATTCTAAACATACAAAGACATGCATGATGCAAACAAGTACAAGGACACACACACATACACACACACACACACGCACACAAGACACGTGTACCATGTCAGGGGCATAGCCTTTGAGGGGAGCAGAGGCATGTGCACACCCCTAACATCATTCGGCCTTCGTTCAGCATGTGCATATTTAGGCCAAACGACCTATGGATTGCAGTTGAATGTCTGGTGTGAAGCCCGGCAGAATTGAGTGCCAGTGTGCTAAGTTCACTTGTACCTGTAGCTACGTGTAGCTTTATAGCTATACAGCTGTATACATGACAACACTGTGTTGTCATGTATACAGCTGTATACATGACAACACAGTGTGTTGTCATGTAATAACTTTACTATAGCAATCAGAAGAACCGGTGAAGCAGACATTGTACATATCCTTGTTTTGTTATAACTACATACGAGTATATATATTGACCTTTGATAAATACCCACAATCATTAGTGACCACACCATCAACAGTATCAAATTCAAATAAATTTGCTCGAATTCAATAAATACCACTGCACGTTTCCATGCAGCACTACACTTTTCCCTAAAAAGGAGTATTTGTATAAATGTCGCAGTAACGTAGTTAGTGTGTGTTAGCATCCATCGATCACACTGCCATGTTTGCATTTGCCAAGCACCGCTGCGTCAGTGCTTTGCGCACTACACTGCACTCACACCGCCAGCGCATAGATTTGGGCGCGCTCAGCAGCATGACGTCGCACAACTGCTTCCTGTAAACTTTTGCGCACTGCACTCACCCTGCTAGCGCATGGATTTGGGCGCGCTTAGCCTGACGTCGCACAACTGCTTCCTTTGAACTTCCTCTTTCTTTCTTGCCATTGACTTCACTTCAAAGTCTAATCAGTGGTGACTTTTAGATTGTGCCAGCATCAAATTTTCACCCTCCATCCCTCCCATGTTATCCTCTTGCTAATGGTACAAGGGAACATTTAGCTCTATTGCTCCTAACTGGTCATTTGCTTCGCTAGTTGCGGCTCTTCACGAGCCAGTTGTTGCCATTTGCATTGGCTTTGCTTTGCAACCCCATTGTGGCACAATGTGGGTTTATTGCGGCTCCTCGCGAGCCAGTTGCTGCCACTGGCCTGGCATTGCTTTCCAGTTCTTTGAGCTTTTGCATTACAAGACCAGTTACTTGAACCAGCACACTATCTCCAAAACAATTCATTGTTGCCTTGGGCTGAGTATGAGTGTGTGAGGGATATGGTGCTAATAGTATTTATTGGCCTTAGGGGTCGTCCGTATTTTTCGAAAAATTAAAAAATCCGTCCTCAGTCAGAAAGGGGGTGGGTGGTCAAGAGCGCTGGCGGAATTTAATTTTTTGATTTTTCATACTTTTTTTTCGTCAGTGACTCATACACTCGTTGCACTGACTCGTAGTGCACTGTAGTGTGGGATCGCAAACACCAGTATGATATACCGGTACATGACTTTTTTTGTGGTTGTAGGACGTGCATGGCCTTCGTTAGACCTACTCACTTTACTTAGCTACTAGTACTTGACATACGTACATACGTCATGTACATGTACAGGCAGGTGCAATCACTGAATCAGTGACCATGGGGTCAGGAGTTCTTATTTTCGAGCTGGGCATCGGTAAAAATCAAAAAATTAATGGGAAAAAATGGGGGGTGGGTGGGTGGGTCAGAGACAATTTTGCACGACGACGGATTTTTTAATTTTTCGATAATTACGGACGACCCCTTAGTGGTATTTTATAAACAGTATTTATTGGCTTTTGAGCCAATAAAAACTGTTTATAAAATACCACTGAGGCCAATAAATACTGTTTATAAAATACTCCTTTTAGGGAAAGTGCAGGTCAACATTATTATTATGTATAATAAATGTAGCAGCCTCAGGATTTATTGCAATTACATACCAGATATAAAAACCGAGGTCCCCGAAGTTTTTATACTGGTATGTAATAGCAATAAATCCTGAGGCTCTACATGTATTATATGCGTACAATGTCCACTTCGCTGATTCTTCTGATCGCTATAACATGATTGTACCTGTACACTGCACGTTCAATTACAAACTACTACCTACTGCTCAAACTGCTACAAGAAGAATTTGGCCGTGTACTCCGTAAGAAGTGCACCAGCAGCCACGCTAATGCAGGTACAAAAGCAAAGAGATGCCTATCCGGCGTATCCGCACCGAAAACAGATAGCAGCATTAGAAGGAGCTGCACACATGTGTACTTGAACTGTCTTGAAGTACGTGTGTCACGTATGTGTGTGTATGTGTGTGTGTATGTGTGTATGTGTGTGTATGGGGGTATATGTGTGTGTATGTGTGTGTATGTGTGTGTATGTGTGTGTATGTGTGTGTATGTGTGTGTATGTGTGTGTATGTGTGTGTATGGGGTGTATGGGGGTGTATGGGGTGTATGTGTGTATGGGGTGTATGTGTGTGTATGTGTGTGTATGTGTGTGTATGTGTGTGTATGTGTGTGTATGGGGGTGTAATCAGTTCTACTAACACCAACATCACGGCATCAGTGTCACTTACATCCGTGTAACGTGGAAACCGATGCAAGTTCTTTGTGTTGAGAAAGCGCATGTTGCTACGATGAGCTAGCAATGTGATGATATTGGACTTTGGGAAAAACCTACGAACACACGCACGCACGCACGCACGCACACACACACACACACACACACACACACACATGAGACCGACGTTTTGCAGACATCTATGACTATGAGTAATATGCATCACTTTTTTAAAGCCCCAGAATAGAACAGATCCAGAGACAGCGAAGATACTGCTATACTGCTATACTGCTATACACACAGAGATGAGCATAGCACAAGATACTGCTATACACACAGAGATGAGCATAGCACAAGATACTGCTATACACACAGAGATGAGCATAGCACAAGATACTGCTATACACACAGAGATGAGCATAGCACAAGATACTGCTACACACACAGAGATGAGCATAGCACAAGATCTTCACATTGTCATGAATGACAGCAGGAGTTTTGTTTTTCTTAAATTGTGCTACATGTGCACCTTTGCCAAAATATGGAATACAGGTACATGTACTTTGCCCCTGGCATAAAACGAGGACGTTGCTGAGTTGCATATTGATTACTGAACATTGTTATTTTAGATACTTGTCTACATGTACATGTACACTAAATATCCAGCCCCATGTTCTTTAGCAGTGAGGCATGCAACAGCCATGAATCACATCTCAGTGGCGGATCCAGGGGGGGGGGGGTTCCGGGGGTTCCATGGAACCCCCTAAATTTTGCAAAGTGTGCGGCTGAGAAAATATCGAAAAATATCATGTGTGCACAAAAGGACGTCCGTCCGATCACAGTCAGTGCAGTCACTGAGTCAATGACTACAGACTCAGTCAGTCAGTGCACTGCACTCGCGTGCGGTGGATCGATACTGTACGCATAGTACCGTACTGGCAATATATATGTTGTCGCAGTGAGGCCATGAAGCGTTACATTGGCACATGTTTACCGCACACAGGGCGTTACATGCAAAGTCGCACAGGAGCCGTTACACAGGTTTCTATATTGCCGCAGTCCTTTTTTTGCTATTGCAGGACTTCCTGCTGCGTCCAGTTTTGAACTTTTCACCACGCGGTACACGTGCTTTCACAGTTTTCAGCCTTTTTTGCAATGAAAAGATCGCCGCACCCCGCCGGACGCGCGTTACGAACGCAACGAAAATTTGTCGCACTAGCCTGGTCGCGCGTTACGCCGCACCCCCTGCGTTACGCGTTACGCGGCAACATATATTGCCAGTACGGTAGTCTGTACTGGTGTTCACGTCCGTGATTTACAAACGGACACTGTAGACAACATTGGGTGGTTGTCTCCTTTTTTATCTTTCGAAACGATCCAAACTTACCTCCATTGGCGCTGTCATTCACTGCTGCTCAGGATGGGTGTGGTGTGGTCAGTATTCCTTGGACAAGTTTTTTGCAGAAGAGAAAGGATGTTCCGAGTACTGACACTCTTCAACAAACTTCGAACCGTACACGTAGAGTTCAAGCTCCTCAGAAGATGAGGGCTCCGACATCCAAGCAAAGTCAGTAATCTCTACTTGCTGCAGCATGCAGTAGTGACTAGTTGTTCCTCCGCAGGAACGGAGTGCTGCGCCAGCGATGTGTTTTAGATGACATTGGAAGGATTGTAAAATTGTCGACACTGTTTCGCTGTTGTTGTTTCTGTCACTGAAGTGAAGACGATGCTCTTGTCCTGTGACATTTCGCATCGTAAAAATGCCAAAATTTCCGAAAGTACAAATGGGCAGGGAAAGTAACTTATATATTGTAGTTGTCATTTCGGCATTCCTGGCTCTCAACGTACCCATGGCTTGCATAATTATTCGATCTTTACAAGAAGTAACAGTTGAAAGGGTCTTCAAGCCCTCACTGAACCTGTGTGCTAGTCGATTGCATACATGTATATGATTATGTGTCGGTACTAAATAATATACAATGTATGGTAAGCAGCAGCATTTGGCACTGTACAGGTTTTCCATCGGCCACCACACCACAACTGCGCTCCGACTCAGTCTCCAGCGATGGTGGTGTGCTGTGGCAACGACTTTGGTTACGTGTCGAGGCCGGCTGGAGAGCGCAGTTGTGGTGTGGTCGATGATGGAAAAATATAATAATATTATGTCCGTAGTGTGTTTTAAAAGCATGCGATTCCCACTAACACAATCGGATTGTCGTTATTACAAATGTCAACCGCACATATGATTCCATAATATTTTGGCTGTTCAATTTTGGTTCAACCGGAACCCCCCTGTAGAGATCTCTGGATCCGCCCCTGCATCTCTGCTCAGTAGAATGAGTGGATGTATGTTAGACAACCTCGACACTCGAGTAACTTCAAAAAACATAGAGCTTGGGACAACATTGCACGTCCACCTTAACACAGCAAACCAAACAAGTCTAGTATGCACTGCATAAAAATCAGGCTCACCGATAAAGCTTTTGCACACCGACTACTGTCTGAGCATCAACCATGAATATCTCTTCCGACTCCTTCCGTGAGCCGAGGACAATTACAGCTTTGGCCATCAGAATACCAGCAAGAAGAAGATCATCCAGTCTGAACGCACACATACACACGCACACGCACGCACGCACACATACACACACACACACACACACACACATACACACACACACACATACACACACACACACATACACACACACACACACACGCACGCACACACGCACATACACGAGTGAAGTTGAGGTAAGTTCAAGTTGTGTATAGAGATGAAATGTAAGAGTCACACTGGTTACAGCACTGCACAGTGATATGACTGTGAAGCAGTGGTGGATTCACAGTGATATGACTGTGAAGCAGTGGTGGATTCACAGTGATATGACTGTGAAGCAGTGGTGGATTCACAGTGATATGACTGTGAAGCAGTGGTGGATTCACAGTGATATGACTGTGAAGCAGTGGTGGATTCACAGTGATATGACTGTGAAGCAGTGGTGGATTCACAGTGATATGACTGTGAAGCAGTGGTGGATTCACAGTGATATGACTGTGAAGCAGTGGTGGATTCACAGAGAGCAGGGGACAAGCAATATTATATTGACCAAGCTTTGCCTCAGGAGAGATGGTGATGTGTGTTAGTGATCGCATACTAGTAGTCGTTACACACAGACGTTACCCTGTCCAGTGCACATCTACACTGTACTTTTCACACAGACGTTACCCTGTCCAGTGCACTTCTACACTGTACTTTTCACACAGACGTTACCCTGTCCAGTGCACTTCTACACTGTACTTTTCACACAGATGTTACCCTGTCCAGTGCACTTCTACACTGTACTTTTCACAGCCATCAGAGAGTTTCTAGAATTCTCCATGAGCGTGGTATAAAGGTGTCAAGTGGGGTTGGGGAAAGGCTCTCTATTTGCGGCAGGCTAGTCTATTGGTATGCCTGTGGATCTGCCATTGTGAAGGGCTTACAACGTTCCAATAATTACAAACTGATATTGGAGATACCATCACCCTGGACCATTTGAAAATCTAGACAGAGGAAGCACAACTAATCATACCACTGCAGTATAATGTACTTAAAGTTCGTAAATATGTGAAGTCAAAACCAGTTTTTCTTACTTGCCGTAACTGCCCACCATGAACGCCAGCTTAGGAAAGCATGCAAAGTGTCTCAGGAACGACTCTGATGGTCTGTGCATGAACATGTGATTAAACACAGAGAGATTCAGTGAGCACAACACACCACAACGCAACACACACACACACACCTCAGACACCTCAGACATGCCCATCGCGGGAGCGATGATAGCGAACACACACACACACACACACACACACACACACACACACACACACACACACACACACACACACACACACACACACACACACACATACACACACACACACACACGCGCCCTTTTCAACAGCTTTTGTTGCACCTCTCGTCTACTGGTATGCATGTCTTTGAGTCAGTATGTTATGACTTGGATGATACGATCATCACTGCAAGCAACGTTAGTTAGTTAAGAGATATGAAAGTACTGATGAAAATCGTTACCATACACTCTGTGCAAGACGTTGGTGACTTTTGTTCTATGTTCACGGATATTTGTTTCCCGAATTGGGCGCGAACTCACAAATCTAGCACTTTTGAATTTTGATAAAATACTCGAAATAATCGAATACCCGATCGAATATCATGAATGAGTGATCGATTGGTCAAAATAAATACTCGTTTCACCCCTACTAGTCTCCCTAGATGTTAACACTCCCTGTTGCTGAATATGCTGCTATCTCATTATCTGTGTAACTGTTATGCTACAGGTATCTGTGTGTATCATGTGTGTGTATGCGTGCGTGCGTGCGTGCGTGTACTCTGCTGCTCAGTTTGCAACCATGCGCATAGCTGAGCTGGACATCATGTTCCTTTTCAAAGCCAAGCCATGTTAGCCATTGCTGATGTCGTTGTGTGTGTGTTTACTGTTTGACAGTGTCAACATACTACACATGGGTAGGGTATCGAGACTCTGAAATCCAGACTAGACAGGATCAGTGACCTACACCTACAAATCCGACCAATGCTTTGCTAGCTGTACATGGGCCACATGCACTACCAGTACCACTACTCACTAGTGCACAGCACAGTACAAAGACACACAGCACAGTACAAAGGCACACGGCACAGTACAAAGACACACAGCACAGTACAAAGGCACACAGCACAGTACAAAGACACACAGCACAGTACAAAGACACACAGCACAGTACAAAGGCACACAGCACAGTACAAAGACACACAGCACAGTACAAAGACACACAGCACAGTACAAAGGCACACAGCACAGTACAAAGGCACACAGCACAGTACAAAGGCACACACGGCGCTGACTATGCCCTGCTGCTGCTGTGGCCTGCTGTGGCCTGCATTATGCATACAGTGCAGTGCTGGACTGCAGTCAGTGCAGACTGTTCACATGGTTCAATGCTGTGCTGGTGCAAGTACAGTACATGCATACATGCCACCCAGCACCGCCAGCCGTGCTGCTACCCACAGTCAACTGGGAACGCGTGCAATACCACTGTAGTCTGCATGCCATCCAGGAGATCTGCATTGGCAGGATTCTTTTGGCGACGACTATAGAAACAAACTGTGAACACTGTTGCAGTGGTGCAGTGTTGGAGTGTTGCAGTGGTGCAGTGTTGCAGTGTTGCAGTGGTGCAGATGTGCAGATGTGCAGTGGTGCAGTGTTGCAGTGGTGCAGTGGTGCAGTGTTGCAGTGGTGCAGTGGTGCAGTGTTGCAGTGGTGCAGTGTTGCAGTGTTGCAGTGTTGCAGTGGTGCAGTGGTGCAGTGGTGCAGTGGTGCAGTGTTGCAGTGGTGCAGTGTTGCAGTGTTGCAGTGTTGCAGTGTTGCAGTGTTGCAGTGTTGCAGTGGTGCAGTGGTGCAGTGGTGCAGATGTGCAGTGTTGCAGTGTTGCAGTGTTGCAGTGGTGCAGATGTGCAGTGTTGCAGTGTTGCAGTGTTGCAGTGGTGCAGTGGTGCAGTGGTGCAGTGTTGCAGATGTGCAAACTTGCAGTGGTGCAGTGGTGCAGTGTTGCAGTGGTGCAGTGTTGCAGTGTTGCAGTGGTGCAGTGTTGCAGTGGTGCAGTGTTGGAGTGTTGCCTACCTTTCACGGAGTAGCAGTATGATGGGCAAGAGAGACTCCGGAGCAATGTAGTGTGCCCGCAATGTTGTCACAAATGAAAACAATGATACATCGGCTTCTGCACAGCCGACGATGATGGCACCGACAAACTGACACATCGCTGGGCTGCTACGATCTTGATGTTCACATGTCTACAGGGTTAATACACGCACGCACGCATGCACGCACGCACGCACGCACGCACGCACGCACACACACACACACACACACACACCACACGCACACACACCACATGACCATAGATTACTTGTAATAGCTTGAGCAAAGCACGGAGGCATCGAGATAGATGCAGATGTCAAACAAATGTATGAGGATGGATAAATTAAAAACTGAAAAGTTTTACAAACATGTGCAAATAAGTTCAGATGGGACACATTGCAGTGAAAAAGTACACACCTCCCCCCCCTCCCCTCAACACACATCATGTGCATTCAATTTGTACAGATGTTGGCATGTGATTGTTCAGTGTCACCAGCTCTTCTTCCTGGAACATTCCTATAGTTTGGGCCCATCCAACAATACCCACCCATACCTGCACAGTGGCACCGTAATCCACAGTATTATTATCTGCCACTGCTCAAGCACGTGAAGAGCGGTGCATGCTTGGCTTACTTTGTTCAGCTCCAGGCAGCAAAACGACTTGTCCTCATTGAGCAAGTGACAGCGGGTACGATGCTTGCCTTGCATGTATGGCACATGTCGGGGCTCTCCAATCACATAACTACACCACATAGAACAAATACAGGCATACAACAAGCTTTAACAAAACAGCACACACCCATCCATGGACGTGCACAATATTACAGACCGCAGTTCAATGGCAATAGCTCTTTCTGCAGTATAGCGGTGTGGCAGGATATTGAGTCACAACGCCTTAGTGGTGATGGCATCACAGATCACAAAGTACAGCTGCAAGAAGGTGCAAGGTCACCATGGTTACTGAAAGAAACCAGCTGGCAGTTTCACCCATTGGAGACTGTAACCTTCTTTTTTTACTAGGATGTGACAAGGCCATGCATGCAGTATACCGCCAAATGATGAAGCTCCCCGCTTATCACACAATGTTTTTGACAACATAATGATGACATGGCTCAACTGCCTAGAAGGCACAGCCTACCAAGGTAGCTTTAGAAAAGAGGGTGGCATCACGTTTGATGAGTCGCGAAAGCTGCTATCTGCTGCAATCCACGATGACAAATCTTGCCCCATATTCGCAGAAATAGCAACATATGTTTTCACTGTACCTTGACATACACTGAGGTAAACAACAAATTAAATTTTTTGGACTTGCACACTCTGGCCTACATACTCTTGCTCACATTCACCTTCGCAACAGGACCAAACAAAAAGTCTAAAGGAAAAAAAAGTTCAAAATACTAACCTCTCTGGTGACACCCAGGCTGAAGCGACACTGTGCACTTCACCATGACCTTCACTTTCCTCATCTTCCACCACTGCCTCATGTCCTACTTCTAACTGCTGAAGTTCATCTTGTTCATCAACTGTCAGCGGATGATCACCAGGACCAGCCTCATCAGTCAGGTCTTCCAGGTTTAGAGGTGGTGCAATGCCCAGAAGATCTTCATTCCGTTGAGCCGTCTAAAAGTTGAAACAAATACATAAAGGAGAAGGTAAATAGTAGCAGCATTCGGCCGTTGAAAACTCATTAAAATGTGACTCCCACAGCATACCACCATTGCACTCTGCGGCCTTAAAACTATCACCTTGTTGTTTCTCTTTCCTGCATAGTACCCTATAGCTTGAATACCTAACAGTTCTCAGCATACGCTTTTCCACACTTCATGGCATTTCTTACTACAAAGTAGGCACTTATTTATTTTCCAGTCACTCGACAATATTCAACCTTCTCTGATGAGGTCTCAATGACCGAAAAAGCTGTCAGAAAAAAATCAGTACAGTACTCAGAAGGCACCTCTTGCAGTCGTGGGGTACTCCCTGGTGGGAAGTGTGAGTGGTCAGCCGCAGAGAGCAACAGTGGTGTACTTAGAGAGTCAATTGACAGCAAACACATAAAAATAGCCTGAATGCCAATACAAATAAACAAAACAAATAGTATCTTACTTGGAAGTAGATGGCTCGGACTCAGCAGAGGGTACAGATGTACATGTACAAGCACAGAAATCCTGCATGACTGCATTTGTTTGAAAGTCAGTAATGAAGACCCGTGGCATAGTTGGGTTGGTGTGCGGAGGCAGACACAGAATCACATAACATTTATACTCTACATTCATACGGTAAAGTAATGTTATGCGTTTCTGCATATAGGCTCTGGACAGCATAATTCGTCGGTTACGGCCATTACTTGATGAGTCATGGAAGCTGCTGCGACCCCCAATTCTATTGCAACATTGCATCAATAAATACGGTCCGCGGTATCTGTGTTTACCGTACAGTGTACACCGATGTCAAGACTCAAACGTGACGTATTGAGCGATGAATTACACTTTGCCCGGCATGGCACTGTCTCATCAGATGTTATACTTTGTACGTGGTACTCTTACTTAAATATGGTGGCAGACACATGTACACATGTAGTCATATGTACACATGTAGTCATATGTACATGTGTACATGTGTACATGTGTACATGTGTACATGTGTACACATGTACACATGTACACATGTACACATGTAGTCATATGTACATGTGTACACGTACACATGTACACATGTAGTCATGTACATCATAAGTTCAGAATTTCACTGACCAAGGCAGATATACGGCGCTGTTGCTCATAGCGTCGCTGTGCGTACCGCGCTGAACCCATGGGATCTTCAGGTGTGGGCATCAAGTGCTGCCTGTCTTCCGCCTCTTTCGTCGATACTGCTGATTCTTGCCGTGCAAATGCATGACGTAGTTTGTCAGAGCGTGACGGTTGGCGTCCGAAATTTGGCATTGTGTCATGATCCCCCTGGATGTTTCTCATCTCCCTCATCAGCGTTACAGCATCGGTTCCGTGAAAGTCACGATGAGGTGGATGAGAATGAGAATGGTCCTAACATACACCCAGATAAACACACACACACACACACACACACACACATACAAACGTACACACACATAGATACACACACGTAGATACACACACGTGCACCCAGATACACACACAAACATATATACACCCAGGTACACACACACACACACACACACACACACACACACACACACACACACACACACACACACACACACACACACACACACACACACACACACACTTGTACAATGTCATGTACTTGCTCACTGCCTAAACTGGTCACATACAGTCAACTTCGCTAATAACGACTGCGGCTATAACAACAATTCGCGAATAACGACAGCATTTCCATGCCCAGAGCAAAGTCCCTGTAATAATCAATGTGACTGTCCTGAGGTGACATCTCAGTGTGCTGTGTGCTGTTGTTCCTCGCTGTGTGCAGTGTGGACATTCTCATGCATGTTTACGTGTCTGTGTCATGAATGATCATCAGTTCATTACCTCCTAGCATGACGTTATTGCGCGCCAAATACGGTTTACCGTGCGCATGCGCGCGCTCGCGCGCGCCAATAATGTTGACAATGCTAAGCTTGCATGCGTGACAAGTGGTTCTAGTAGTGGCAGTTGGGAGAGACATGAGGTTCTTGATGGTTTGATCAAGGTGTTGCCGGTTGGCGGTTTTTGCTCTTTACTCTAACTTTAGTCAAGCCTTTAT